CAGAGAGAGACAGAGAAACAGAAAGCAAGAAATCACCCCCCCCCCAAGGGGGATGGTCATGCCACAATCTCTTCTCCTCCATTCTCCTCTCGGGTTTTTCGGTATGCATGCACACATGCTTGATATGAGTTTCAAGCCTTCAGGTCGGAGACTTGAACCATGGTTGGCCACATGGTTATCCAGTGACTTAATCATTACTCCATCTGCTGGTCTCTATTTGCCCATTTTTAAATGGAATTATTATTTTTTTATGGATGAGCTGCTTGAGTTTTCTATAGATTCTGGTTTTCAATCCCTTGTCTGAGGAATAATTTGCAGATATTTTCTTCCTTTCCAGGGGTTGTCTTTTCACTCTAATTATTGTTTCCTTTGCTGTGAAGAAGGTTTTTAGCTTGATGTAGTCCTACTTGTCAATTTTGGGGACTATTGCCTGTGCTTTGGGGGTCTTATTTTAAAAATATTTGCCAACTCTAATGTCTTCAAGAGTTTTCTCCTACATTTTCTACTAGTAGTTTTATAGTTTGAGGCTCAGAGAACCTAACCACTCCTTCTACGAGGCCACGTTCCATCCACACTCTACTAGAAATTTATGTGAGTAGGTTTTCTGTTCTGTGGAGATGGTGAGTAGCAGGAGTGGGTAGCTGGCAAGTCCTGCTGTCTCCTACTGTCACTTATAGCACTTTCCTGTGGTTGTGAACTGTGTAATTGATTGGTTTCTGCCCCACAGTTATCTGTTTATAAATTATTTCCAAATTTTATATATTATAGTCTATAATTATCTGAACATGTTCCTATTAACCCCATTTAAAAAAAAAAAAAAAAAGCACCTAAATGGCATAAGTATCCAGTTTAGAGGCACCGTCAACCAGGCTGGATTTTTCAAATGCAAAGGGAAGATCATTGCCATTCTAGAAGTATTGCTTACTTTTCTTTGAAAAAATTACTCATTTGGGGCTGGCAGGTGGCAAGGTGATTAAGGGTGCTGGACTCCCACATTGCCAACAATGGTTCAAGTCTCGGACCTGGTGGCTTACTTTCTCAGTTTTCATCTCTCTCTCGCTCTGTCCCTCTTTGGTCAAATTAAAATAAATATATAATTAATTAAATAAGTTAAAATAGTTCTTAAGAAAAATTACTCATTAACTGGGGTCAGTAGATGATGTGGTGGTTAAGGTATTGGATTCCTACATGGCTGACTGTGGTTTGAGTTCTGGACCTGGTGGCCTGCTTTTTCACTTTCCTTATCTTTTTCTCTCTCTGGTGAGCACATGTGCCCTATAGAAAATTTAAAAAAAAATAATTCTTTAAAAAATAATTTATTTCTTCCATGAGTATCAAGACATACACATATAACACACACACACACACACACACACACACACACACACACCCTTAACAGTGATCCAACCTCAGCACATGTCTTGCATACTCAGGGAGGTCTTTTTTGTTTGTTTTTTTGAGAGATTTTCGCTATAGGGCGCGTGCGCTCGCCAAACAGACAGAGACAGACAGAGAGACAGAAAGCGAGAAATCACCCCCTAGGGGGGATGGTCACGCTGCAATCCCTTCTCCTCCATTCTCTTGGGATCTTGGGCACACACACACACGCGCCCGGCGTGAGTTTTAAGCCACCAGGTCCAGGATGCGAACCGCGGTCGACTACGTGGGAGTCCAGTGACATAGCCATTATGTTAACTGCTGGTTCCCAGGGAGGTCTTTTGACTTGAACTCAGAACCTTCCCATGTGGGTCAGCCTCACGGAGCATTATGTTTTATGGCTGTCCCATCTTCTGGCTCCAAAAAACATTGCTTTTATAGGAGACCACCAGTGTTGTCACATCTGTGCTTTCGCTTCTAAGTGAAGGTTAACTCTTTCATTATATGTATATATATATATAAATATATACCTGTCTCCTAATTGGAACTTTAAGACAGTAAAGTCTTCATCTGAAAATGAAGTCATGATATATAGTCATGATATATGTGGAATCTCATAAACTGGCACTTTGAAAGACAAAAAGAGTCAACCTATGGCCCTTCCCTTTTTTCTAAAATTGCTTTTAGCACTTTTATTTTTCTTGGTTAATAGTGCTATGTCTTGATTACTATACTTACATACACCTACACACACAGTGCAGACATTCTCCTTGGTTACCTTTTATCTCTACAACTTTTATGCTGTAGTCACATTCTTCTAGAAAAAAATAAATTGCTGCTACTTGTCCACCACCACCCGACTAGGATATGAATATATACCAATTTACCTATTCAAGAATAAGGCTATCAGATCTTTAGCTTATGGATAAGCAGAAATACTATGCTCACAAAAGAATCCTAACTTGAGATTCACTGCTTTTACCTCTGACTAGTAGAATTTATTCTATTTAGACAATTTCACAGGATTGAAAAGCTGATTTCTGACAACTAATAAATATATCATGCAATGGAAGGATGTGTGAAAAAACAAATCTTAGAAACATTGGACATTTGGGCTGGCCCTGTGGCCAGGAAAATTGGATTTGGCCCACATGGCAAAACATTTGGCTCAATTCATGGCCCTTGAGGCTTGAGAAACATGCTGAGCATGTGTGTGTGTGTATGACTGTGTGCTCAAGGCCCTGACAGGGTGGAGAAATGGAGATGGCATTGCAGTGTAACCACACCCCATTGGGGGTTGCTTTATTCCTCTCTCTCTGTCTCTCTCGCATGGGTCCACATGTGCTTAGGCAATTTTTTTTTCTTTTTTTTTTTTTTTTGGAGAGGTTTTTGCTATAGGGCGCGTATGCTCGCCAGACAGACAGAGAGAGACAGAGAGACAGAAAGCAAGAAATCACCCCCTAGGGGGATGGCCATGCCGCAATCCCTTCTCCTCCATTCTCCTCTCAGGATCTTGGGCACACATGCACACACGCCTGGTGTGAGTTTTAAGCCACCGGGTCTGGGACGCGAACCACGGTCGACTACGTGGGAGTCCAGCGACATAGCCATTACGCTAACTGCCGGTTCCCTGCTTAGGTAAATTTTTTAAAAAGTAACTGGACTTTTGCTTTGAGGGTCCCACAATGGAAATATATGAGTTTCTTTTAAACCAGTAGGATTTGTGATTCCCTCAAATGTCAGATTAGGGGTGTTGAAATCCCCGATGTTTTACTAGGAATTACCCTAGGAGAAACTTAGACCAAAACTTTCTCTTTTACCATTTATTTTAATACCAATTTGCCATAGGGTATGTGCACTCACCAGGGAGAGAGATGAGAGAGAGAGAGAGAGAAAGCACCCTTGGAGGGTAGAGTTACACCACAATCCCTTCTCCATTCTCAAGATTTTGGGCACATGTGCCTGGTGTGTTCTTCAAGATACCAGTTCCAGGACTCAACGCAATCATATAGGATCCATGATGCCACCAGCTGGTCCTAGACCAAGCTCTTCTACAGGTTCAGACTCCCTACAATGTCGTAGGTAAAAGGTGCTGCAACTCGGACCGCTCACTAAATTTAAAAAGCCGTGGGACTATGTTGGAAATCTTATTGTCTCCTTTCTATTCTATATATATAAATATAATTTCTTACATGGCAGAGCCGTGGGACTATGTTGGAAATCTTATTGTCTCTTTCTATACTTAAATATATATATATATTATTTCTTACATGGAAGAGAGAAAGAGAGAGAAAAGGGAAAGAAAGACAGTCATTCTCAACTAAAATCTCACTATGGTGTTATCTTCTACTCTCCAGCTCCAGCCCTCTGGCCAGCCAGGATCACAGGCATGTCCATGGGTACTCCTGTTGTGTCCAGGTTGATGTAGGATTTGAACTCAGCCTTCTCACATGACTCCAGTGTGCATAGCATCACCCCACTGATTGTGCCTCCATGACTGGACCTGCTATTATTTCTTAAAATTCTTTGACCCATGTATAGTTGTTTCATATTAGGTTGCTGGAAAAGTCATGCCGCATTTTTGCATAGAAAAACATAGATAGAAACAGAAAAATGTCATGACTTTTATGACAACCTGATACATATTTTCCATGCATTTATTTATTTATTTTGTCATAGGGGCCGTGAGCTCGACAGAGACAGAGACTCACAGAAGGTGAGAAATCACCACCCAGGGGGGATGGCCATGCCACAATCCCTTCTCCTCCATTCTCCTTCTGGAATCTTGAGTGTGCATACACATGGACCCAGTGCGATTTTCAAGCCACCAGGTCCGGGACTCAAATTGTGGTTGACCATGTGGGAACCCAGTGCCTTAATCAGCATACCATCTGCTGTCCTCTCTCCATAAACTTTTGAAGTCTCCTTGTAGTCACCGAGAGCAAAGAGCCAGATACTAAACATTTACATCATGATATTGGCTTTCCTGGGGACAGTACTAAAAACAAGACAGTCATCAGGCTGTTTAGGACTGGAGCACCCATAAACCCCTGTGACTTAGTACCTCTAAGGTTTTGATATTTTTTAAAAAGCTATTACATTTTTCACATGATATGATGGTGGTCTTGAACACAAAAATAGAGACGTTTTGTAGCTAAACGATTTTATTGGCTTCTTGTGAAATAAAAAACACAAAACAAACCACCATGGTTAAAGGCCATAATCAGCATCAACCAAATGAACCAGCCACTTGGTTATGGTAGGTGATAACAACACTAGTAGATATTATTGCTTGTACCCCAAGTTCATTTATATGTCCATTACGTTTTGGCAAGATTACAATCAAATGGGAGCTTTGGTTGTATCAATTTGCTATGACTACTCACTGAACACACAACCTCTACCATTGTTATGATGGGGATAGATGCCAACCCTTCCTGAGTCTTGACATTTACCCTCTCATTCTGTCTTCTTTCTCCTACTGATGATTTACAACCCTAGTGGGAAAAAAAATGAAAATGGATGCATCTATAACCATCTCTACTCTACTTCCCCCTTTTCTGTGATGAGAGGGTGATGCATTTCTGGGCTTCGCCACGCTCTTGTATCTGGTATATTCACTGCCAGTAATAAAAGCCTATCTATAATCTAGGCAGATTTTCAAATACCTATGGCTGTCAACATTGGGATTGGACTCAACTGTCTCTCTTCTATCTTCTGAAAAGCTAGAAAATAAAAAATAAAAACAAAATCAAAAGCCCTTAGCATTAAAAAATTGACCTTCCAACCCAATGAGCCCCAAGCCCTGGCCATACAATGTCCATGGCAGGTATGGAGTTCAGGCCTAAACATGCTTTCCGTGTGAGCTATATACCATTTACTTTACAGAGAAGCAACGACTGACTGCCTCCCAAAGCTCCCCTGCTCCACACTTTCTATTTTAACACTGAAAACTCAGGATGACAATGAATCAGAACTAACTCACAATAGCACCATTTCCTAGACTCTTGGAATTTGATAGATTCCTTTCTGCATTGGAGAAGGCAGAGACCCAGCCTCCAGCTTTGTGCTTTCACAGGCCCTGCTGAATTTCAGCGGGAGTGGGTGGTCTGCGTTAGCCTACTTCTGCAGCGACAAGAATTTTCCCTGGGAAGAGTTAAAAATACGTGTTTTACAAAGCAAAGTTGGCCACAGGTGGGAGACCTGAGGAAGCCTGTTTCCGGTGGTGAGATGTGACAAGCCTGTAGATGGCGGAATGGACTCCAGGACCTTTTCCCTTGCCCATCTCAATTCAAGTCAGTGGAGAATCTGCATGCAGAAGCATGGCGAGATCAGAGAATACTGAGACCTAAACCCTAATACAGCAATCCAAACACCAATGCTCTAATGGTGTCTTATGTATTCAGGTCCACGAGTGAGTTTGCCCTGGATAATGCTGGGATTTAATAAGCCCTTCTAATGATTATAAAGATTATCCTCTTGAATCTAGACATTTTAAACAACAGAATATTTGATATCACTATATTTTCCATGGCACATATAACCATATAATTACTAGCACTTACACAGCAAATATTGTAAATACACATTCTTGGAGTTGACTTGGTAATTATACCAATGTTATTTAGCAGAACAAAGATTAAACACTCTCCAACTCGCACTTTGGGGGATTTCAGTCCAACCCTTTACTTCACAACAAAAGAGCAACCCTCTAATTAGGGAGTTACGCTCGGTGGTCATATGGGCACAGAGAGTCACAGGGAGACTTCATGGTCAATCGGTGGCCTGTAAAATAAAGTAATACACAGTATTTTCATTTCAACAAAATACAAGAGACCATATAAAAATAGTTTCCAATTTGGAATCTGAAACATGAAAGCTGGATTGTTATTTTTCTTTTTCCTTGTATAAAAAGAAACAAAATAACGGACTAAAGTTTATTAAGCCTCCTAACAAAAAAATATACATATTAGTTTAAGGAATGCAGTGAGAGTCAGCTTCCCTTTTTGTCCAGGCTCATTGATGGTGAGCTTGTGCTTTGATCCTAGCAAAGATAAATGCACAGAAGTGGAGGAAGGTCAGTGCCTGAAACCCGAACTACATCGTATCTCTAGGACGACGACTAATTTTACAGTAGTGCTTTTAAACGTGGTGTATCAGATTACTGATTTATTTTTCTCTTCCTCTTCAGGCGACGGCTGGAGATGAATTCCAGAAGCACCACTTTCGTCTGGAGTGATGTTTATTTAGTGCAATGTCTTCCTTCTCTCGTTCCCTTTTCACACGCTGGTAGTGGTCTTCTTCCTTCAGGTACCACACTGGGGGCCAGCGGTGCCGCTCAAAGTATTCCTGGTTGTCTAGGGAAGGAAAGAGGCTGACGATAATGCCTGTTTCTGGCTGATACCCCTTGTGCTTACTGCTTCTCATGCACTCTCTCCACACCTGATGTAGCAGAGACTGATTAGGACCAGGTACAGTCAAGGGCACTGAAGTCATGAGAGGTAGAATCTCTTGCCCACAGCCATGAGGCTAGGCACAGGGAATGTGACTCCGGAACCACCTGATTTCAGAGTCCAAGCTTGCTCCTAAGCATGCCTCCCTAGACACGTGGCAGTGTTAACCCCAGCCTGCTCTGTAGCAGAGCACGCCAACTCCAGCCCACCCAGATCCCCCAAGCAGGCAGTTCTCCAAAGAGAGTTCCCAACCTGAAAGTTGTTGGGTCATGCCACACGAATATGTGACCACCAACCAGCCACAGGAATTCTCTGTGACCTGTCCACTAAGTCCGCTCCTTCCCGGGGAGGACAGCTGGATCAATGGGGGCCTCCCTCGGTCTTACCTGCAGACTTTGACTTGATTTCTTTGCGGAACTTGGAACAAACGCTGTTGTAGTTGGTGCAGATGTGGTGCAGACACCAGGCGGCCAGCTGGTGGGCATTGTGAAACTGCAGGGAACGACCGACACAGTGGGCACCGTGAGACCAGAGAGAACAGCCTACCTGGGGTCGGACTCGACTCTCTTTCTTTGTCTTTTCTCTCTTTTTAAAAATAATTTTTCCAGGACCAGCAAGTGGTGTGATGGCCGAGGTGCTAGACTCTCACATGGCCGACTGTGGTGTGAGTCCTGGACCTTACAGCTTGCTTTCTCACTTTCCCGCTCTCTGTCTGTCTCTCTCGGTGAGTGCATGTGTCCTATAGCATATAAAAAATAGTAATAATAAATAAAAGAATTCTTTTTCTTTAAAGGTTTTTTTTTTTTTTTTTTTTTTTTTTTGCTATTGGGCATATGCACTCGATGTAGAGACAGAGAGAGAGAGAGAGATAGGCAGAAGGCGAGAAATCACCACCTCCTCCATTCTCCTCTTGGGATCTTGGGCGTATACTCACACATGTCCGGCATGAGTTTTAAGCCGCTGGGTCCAGGACTCAAACTGTGGTCGACTACCTGGGAGTCTTGCTATGTAAGCATTACACCATCTGCTGATCCTAATAAATAATTCTTAAAAAAAAAAAAAATTTACCAGTTGGCACATGAACACACTTAGAAACACACACACACACACACACACGGAGTAAAAGTGAGGAAGTACCCCCCCATATGGGGGATGGTCACACAGCAATGCCTTCCCCTCCATTTCCCTTCTTTCAAGATTTGGTGCACCCACATGCCCAGCCTATTTCTCAAATGACTGGGTCTGGGAATTCTAACCATGCAGTTCACCACAGGGACTCTAATCACCTTAACCACCACGCCACCAGCTGGTCTGACTCTACTTTCTAAAGGGTCTGCAAAGAAATTGGAAGCCACCGTAGGGATGAAAAGAAATGAAGGGCCCCGTAACTTATTGAGCAAACCTCTTGTTTTGACCTCGTATATTTTGACTTTGGCCATGGCTCTGATGCCAGCCAAGTGAGGCTTTTGGCATAGCCCTCCCTAGCCCCTGACAGGTACACCAAAAGTAACCACTGAATCCGATCAGAAGTTTAAAGTATGCTCCTGCCACCTGGGCCCTGAGTGGTAAGTGACCGTGGCCTCCGGAAGGCACCAGCCAGCAGCAGAAAGCAGCGATGTCATCTCTGTTTAAGGAAGCCTCAGCCATGGGATACTCTGGGTCGCATGTCAGAGCTCAGCTTGCTTGGACCGAAGGTCCGAAAGAGGAGACTGCAGAATGTGTGACTGTCCTGTGCCTGCCCTTCGGTTACATAAGAAGAGCAGGTGGGTGGGCAGGGCAGGGGTATGCAAACCCATGCGCAGGGAGGTGGTAGCTGAGGTTGCTGTGATTGGAAAAGACCTGATGCCCCAACACTGACAGCCATTCTCTTCTGGGGCCTGGCAGAACGGCCACTCCCCCCCTCTCTCCTCCC